GAGAGACACCATTGCTCTTCAGTCCCTAACAGCAGACTTTCCCATCCGCAGTACTTCTTTTAATTTCCTGGCTACTGGTGCCAAGAGTGTTGACTGTGGAACCAAGCAAACTAAAGCTGTGAACAATCTTAATCTCTTCACCAACTGTCCTGATGCTGCTAACTGGTGCAGTGGTGAGAATCTTTGTCTTCTTGACATTGAGCCTCAATCCATATTGGAGGCTGCAGTCCTTAACCCTCTGCAGCAAGCGCTTCAGGTCCTCCTCATTTTCATCAAGCATGGTTGTGTCATCTGTATAACGCAGATCTTCCACCAAACTTGACCCTACATTTCTCCTCATAGAGCCCAGCCTCCCAGATAATCTGTTCTGCATACAGGTTGAAAAGGTATTGAGATAGGACACATCCCTGGTGTACACCCTTCCAAATTTTGAACCATGCAGTTTCCTTACTCTGTTCTGACTACTGCCTCTTGGTCCAAGTATACGTTTCACATTAGCACAATCAAGTGTTCTGGGATTCCCGTTCTTCACAGAGTCAGCCATAGTTTGTTATGATTCACACAGTCAAACACTTTTGCATAGTCAATGAAACACAGATAGACATTCCTCTGGTATTCTCTGCTTTCAGCTAAGATCCATCTAACATTAGGTACTATATCCCTAGTACCACAACCCCTTCTAAACCCAGCCTGGACTTCCGGCAGTTCTCTGCTGATGTGCTGTTCCAGTCGTTTTTGGATAATCTTCAGTAGAATCTCACTTACATGTGAAATCAATGATAATGTTCTACAGTTTACACACTCTTTGGGTTGCCCTTCTTTGGGATGGGAACAATTATAGATCTCTTCCAGTCAGTTGGCCAAGTGGTTGTTCTCCAGATTTCTTGGCACAACTTGATGAGCACGCCCAGGGCAGCATCTGTTAGCTGAAATATGTCAACTGGTATACCATCTATTCCTGGGGCCTTATTTTTTGCTATTTCCTTCAAAGCAGCTTGAACTTCTTCCTTCATCACCATAGGCTCTTCCTCATAAGTTATTTCATGAAATTCTTTTTTGTCTGCCAATTCCTTTTGATACAGTGACTCAGTATATTCTTTCCATTTTCTTTTAATACTTCCTGGATCATTTAATATTCTGCTGAAAGCATCCTTGATCATAGCAACTCAAGGTTTGAATTTATTCTTCAGTTCCTTGAGCTTAAGAAATGCTGAGTGAGTTCAGCCCTTTTGATTTTCTAACTCCCACTCCAAGCACATTTCATTGTAATGTTTTACTTTGTCATCCTGCGCTCCCTTTTGAAATCTTTTCAGCTCTTTAAAGTATCTTCAATTCTTCCTTCTGCTCTGGCTTCTCTGCATTCCAGTGTAATATTCAGAGTTTCTTCTTACATCCATTTTGGTTTTTTTCTTCCTCTTCTGTCTTTGCAATGATCGTGTGCACTCTTCCTGGATACCCTTGATATCCTCCCACAGCTCATCTGGTCTTCGCTCACTAGTGTTCAAGGACTCAAACCTGTTCCTGAGATGGTTCTGAAATTCAGGTAGGATAGACTCAAAGTCATATTTTGGTTCCCCACTTCACCGAAGACGACATTCAGATGGCTAACAAGCACATGAAGAAATGCTCAAAATCCCTAGCCCTAAGAGAGATGCAAATTAAAACAAGTATGAGGTATCATCTCACCCCAGTCAAAATAGCAAAATTTAACAGAACAGCAAGCAACAAATGCTGGCGAGGTTGTGGAGAAACTGAAACTCTGATTCACTGTTGGTGGGAGTGTAAAATGGTGCAACCCCTGTGGAAAGCAGTATGGAGCTTTCTCAAAAAGTTGCAAATAGAGATACCATTTGACCCAGCAATTCCACCACTGGGAATATACCCTGAAGAGACCATAGCTGACATCCAAGCAGATATATGCACTCCCATGTTTATTGCAGCTTTGTTCACAATAGCAAGGAGTTGGAAACAACCTAAGTGCCCATCAACAAACGAATGGCTTGAGAAGCTGTGGTATATTCGCATATTTTGGTTCCCGTGGATTCGGTTTCATTTTTCCCAGCTTCAGCTTGAACTTGCATATGAGTAGTTGGTGGTCTGTTCCACAATCAGCTCCTGGCCTAGTTTTCACAGCTGATAGTGAGCTTCTCCAGCAGTTCTTTCTGCAGATGTAATCAATCTGATTCCTATGCATACCATCAGGTGAAGTCCATGTATATAACCTTCATTTATGTCTCTTAAAAATGTATTTGCAATGAATAAGTTATTTATTGTGCAAAATTCAATCATTCTTTCTCCAGCTCCATTTCTGTCACTGAGTCCATGTTTTCCAGCTGCTGAATACAATTAAAAACTATCTAAGTCTCAACAAAACTTTAACATGTGATAAAAAACAGGTCTTCTATGATACCCAACAACATTTGGCACTATCAAAAGAAAAACATTATATGCAAGCTTCGTAAGTAAGCCAGTATAAAATAAACATGCTGTATAAACATAAAGATTAAAAAGAAAAAGAAAAAAAGGCCCAATGTTTCTGCAATGGCAAAGCTCCATCACACGTCACACAACCGAACTCCCAAAGCTCAGCAGACTGGGCTACAAAACTCTGCCTGATCTGGCATAGTCACCAGATCTCTTGTGAACTATCATTTCCTTATTTTTGCAGAAGAAACTTCAATGATAAAGGTGTCACCAAAAACACTTTCAGAGAATTTGTCACCTTCAGAATATAAGGTTTTAGGTGGAACAGATAAACATGTATCTTGTTGGCAAAATGTGTAGATTATGATTCTTATTTCAATTAATAAAGTCTAAGTTATAGAATTTCAAGGTTTAAAACTGCATTACTTTTGCAGTAACTTAGTAAAAGCAATTGATTTTGCTTTAAAGTTTCAGTGAAACATTTGTGTGAGACAAAAATATCTACAGTTTCTATTTTGTACAAGTGACTTCTGGTCTAATTTTGTCACTTTAACTGCTGTTTTTTAGGTTTCCTTGAGAATGGTATGTCTCATTCTCCTTTCTATCTTTTGTAAGACACATTATTCCAATCTAGCAATTGCTATTTTTCAGTATTTCACAAAACTACATATACTTAACCAGATAAAAAGTAAAGAATTACCTTGAGTACCCATTTACTAAGTAGGAAGCTCAGTTTGAGTGGCACAATCCATAAGGAGTTGCACTGCTAACTTCTCAAGTGATTCAAATACACCCGTGGTTCCATAAGAAAAAGATAAGCATTCATTTCCTGTGTGATTTATAGCCTCAGAAACTGGTGTCACAAATTTACTGTTCTAAGTGGTTTTCCCAAACTGGTGTCAAGAGTTTATTGTTCAAAGTGGTTTTCCCAGTCACTGACTTTGACATTGCCATGTAGATTGGTGGAAATATGTAAGTAGGATGTATTATTCTATCTACAAGGGTATTGTCTAGTCTCACCCTTAAATTGAGGGGATTCAGTAGCAGAAAGTTGGGAATCTCATTGCAGAGTACATGTCCTTCAGGACCAAGGATTCCTAAACTACTCAGACTGGGGCCTATTGAAACAGCAGCCACAGCAGAAAACTAGAGATTTGACATGAGACAGCCCTGACTTTGGGACTGCTAGCCAGTGGAATCAGAGGCAGGAACCCTCACCCAAGTTTACTGGAGGCCTGTGCGGGACACGCCATAATTGTCAGGACTAAGAGTTTTGTAGCACTGGCCTAAAGTTGAGAGCCTGAAGGTTGAGAAGACTGTGAACACGTTTCAGCAGCTGTCCAGACTGAGTGATTGTATTCTGTCAACAGAATTACATAACTTTTTAACGTCCCTAGTAAGCCCCACAAGTGTGAGTATGGTTCCATGTACTTTGTGAGCTATTGCAACGGCTTTCAAATCCAGTAGAACAGTAAGACTGGTGTTGGAATTAGTAGAACAAAGTGCAAGAGCATAGGGAACTTGTGTGTGACCTCGTAAGAATTAGTTTTGTGTTGCAGATGTTATCTCGTGTTTATTTAAATATTTACAAAAGACGCTGCTGTTGTTCCATCGAGTTGCTTATACTCATCGCAATCCTATATACAACAGCTCTGAACTCTGCCCTGCCCTGATCCAGTCTGACTCTGACATGCCTACCTACCCACCATTACCCTAGTTACCATGTCACTCCATCTCATCTGGGGTTTCCTCATCTGCACTGTCCCCCCACCCTTCTAATCACAATGTCCTTCTCCAAGGACAAGTTGCCAAAGTATGCGAGTCAAACTTAAATTTTCATTAACTAAAAATAAAATTTTAGAAATAAAATTATAAAATTTAAACAAAGTACAAATAAAATTACATTAGATAAAATAATGAGCAAGAAGTATTTTTACATTGTTGTTGTTATATAGCTTTGAGCTGGCACCAACTCAGAGCTGATCCTTCAGTGCCTTTTCAGAGGCTGTAAGTCACAGGGAAAAAGCTGGTAGATTTGAAAGACCTGCCTTCCAGTTAGCAGCTCAACTCCCTTCCACTAAGCCACCAAAGCTCACTATTTTCCCATCTATGGTTGGGAAATTTATTGCACTTAGTCTATTATTACATGAGTTTTACTTCATAACTCATTCATTCTAATTGTTATTCTGGATTTCTTTTTCAATTTCTCTCAGACATTTCTATCTCATCATTAAATGATCTTACAAAGAAAACAGGTGGTATATTTTTCAAGACTTTAAAGCTCTGATAATTTAGCTTTGTATATAAATTAAAACTTGTCTGGACATAAAATGAAACACCAGAAGACCACATTTGCTTGTGCTCTGTAATATATATTTCCATATGTGAAGCTTGTCTGATTTCCTAATGTATTGTTTTTTTTTCTCTTGGTTCATAACTGCCTCCTAATAAACTGAATTCTCACCTTAATTCAAAATAAAATTAATAAGGAATAAAACTATTGGGCCTTTGTAGTTTTATGAGGGGGAAAACACCTCTCCGTATTTTAAATACTAAAATAATAAAATAATACTTACAAGTTGATGCTCTAATAGTAGAATTTTTTCATCTTTTTTCTTTATTTCCTCTTTAAGTTGCTTTATTTCATTTATTAAAACTTCATTCTGAAAAAAATGTTAAACATTAAGATGAGATATTGAATTGGATTTAAAATGTCCTATTTAGAAATATCCTTAGAGAGAGACATCATGCTTGGGAGGGTGGAGGGACAGCGCAGGAGAGGAAGGCCCTCTATGAGGTGGATTGATTCAGTGACTGGGATAATTGGGATGGGAGTGTCAGAGACAGTGCGACTGGCACAGGAGAGAGCGGAGTTTAGGGCTGTTGTACATAGGGTCACTATGAGTCGCAGGCGACTCGACGGCACATAACAACAACAACAATTTAGAAATATGACATCAGCCAGGAAAACATAGCAATAAATGAACTGTTCATTTACAAAAATCATTCCTCCAAAATAATTTGCTGGTTATTGAAACTTTGAAATAAAAGGAGGTAGTGTGGTCTTTGACATTGAAATCAGCAGCTAAAGCTAATACTTGCTTAATATTTATTATGTTTCAGGAACATCTGAGAATTTAAGCATCTGATCTTGACAACACTAAATTAGCTCTTACAGATAAGGAAACTAGCATAAGTGAGTAAATGAGGACACACTGTAACTTCTAAAGGAAAAAATATGTAATTAAAATGTGCTATTTCTGAGGAAAGAATGTCCTATACTTCAGATGTTGTTGTTGAGTCGAGTATAACCCATAGAAATCCTATGAAATACAGAACTGAACTCTTTCCTAGCCTGTGCCATCCTTACAATTTCTAACACACTAGAGACCACTTCAGCAATCACTGTCAATCCACCTAGTTGAAGGTCTTTCTCTCTTTTGCCAACCTTCCACCTTTTCATGATGTTCCTTTCCAAGAAACAGCCTCTCCTAGCAATATGCCTTAAATATGTGTGGTGAAGTTTATTATCTTTGCCTCCAAGGATCACTCCGGCTGCATTTTCTCTAAGACCTAACTGCTTGTTCTCTTGGTAGTCCATGGGATATTCAGTACTCTTCAACATCATAGCTCAAAGGCATAATTTTTAATTCTGTCACCTTTATTCACTGTCCTGCTTTCAGATTGCACACCAAGTAACTGGAAAGACCATAGACTGAATCAGATGCACCTTAGTCCTCAAACTGACATCACCATTCCTCAATAATTTAGAGAGGTCCCTGACTGTAGAATGGAATGTGCAGAGAACTGGAATTGGAAAATAAAGAGTTCTACATATTCTGCATTTCTCAAACTGAAAGAAGTAGAAAAAAAAATTAAGCCTCAAGTTAGCATTACTGAAAGATGCTGTGGGCAGTACACAGTCACTCTTCCAAAAAGAAGTGGCTGATACTGGAAAATTTCAGCAAGTCCTACATGTTTTTGTATACCGACCCATAGCTGACCCTCTGGCAGGTTTTCAGAGACAATTAATTCTGCCCATCCTTCTTCCGCAGAGATACCCTGGTTCCCCTGGTGGATCTGAACTGTGTGTCTTCGGGACTGCAGTGCAGCATCTTACCACTAGGCCACCAGAGCTCCCCAAGTACCATATGTGCAGGAGCCAATGGTAATGAAGAAAGAAGTTGAAGCTGTACTTAAGGTATTGGCAAAAAATAATAATAATTAATAGTGAGACTTTTCTTTAAAAACTTTAAAAAAGGGAGCTCTGGTGGCCTAGTGACAAGAAGCTGCACTGCAACCCCAGAGGTACACAGCTCAAATCCACGAGATGCTCGGTCAGAGAAGGAGGGACAATTTCCTCCTGTACCAATTAGATCTGATTTGACAGTAAATGCACAAAAAAGAATTAAATAAAAAGAAAAACAAAAAATTTTAAAAAGACTTCGGCAATCTGACAATGTAATGACAAAAATCTCTAAAATGTATAGAATCTCCAGCACCTCAACAGGAAAGAGTCAAACAACCCAATTGCAAAATGGGTAGAGAACATGAAAAAGTATCATTCACCAAAGAAGAAATCCAGTTGGCCATAAACACATAAGGAAAATCACCCGTATCATCAGCTATTATCAATTCTCACTGCCACTGAGTCAGGACTGACTCACTGCTGACCTTCCAGCAGATTGCCAAAAACTGTAAATTGCACAGGAGGCGAGTTCCCGTCTTTATCCTTTGGAGCAGCAGCTAGCAGATGCAAAATTCTTGCTTTTGGGTTGGCAGCATAACTCCTTACCCATGGGGCCACACTACCAAATCCTAGCAACAAAGTTCAGTAAAACAGAAAACAGCATATGCTACACTGCTGGTAGGAGCAACTACATTGCTAAGCAGTTTGGCACTTACTTACAAAGTTGGAAATCCGAATACTATTTGTTTGAGTAATGCCACTACTAGCTATATATCCCAAAGACATAAGCCCTGCAAAATGAACTGCTGTATATAGAATACATCATGAACTCATGCTTACTTCAGTATTATTTATAAGAACAAAGATTAGAAAACAATCCAAAGTGATCATTAAAAAATAAAGGGCTAAAGAAGCTAAGTTCACACAAGGGAGTATTTATCATATAACAATAAAAAATAATTTGTGAAAAACTACACAATTATGAATAGATCTATAAAAGAAATTCTACTTAGTGACCTAAGTCAGTCACAAAAGCAGTATTATGGCATAAACTTGAAACTCAAATAAAATTTAAAAAACCCACAATACACAACAACAACAAAAAAACCCTCAAATGAATCGTAGATGACTCTATCAACTCATAAGCTCCAAAAGATTATCAGAGGCTGTAAAATACATAGGAAGAGATCTCTCATCTTTCTCCCATGAAGCCACCAGCAGAATAGAACCACCTGCATTTGGTTTAGAAATGTAACTCTCTACCCACTAAGTCATCAGAGCTCCCTGTTATAAGAAAACTGATTTTTGACAAGGAGATGAAATCAGTGAAGTGGGAAAATGACAGCCTTTTTTTAAAAATTTTATTTTAATAATTTTAATGATCATTTACAGAGATTTTGGATTTCCATTCATTCATTGTTGCACCTTTCTCCCTGACCCCCAATGACAGCCTTTTTAACAAATGGTGTTGACAAAATTGGAAAACCATCTGCAGAAAACTCAAGCAAGATCCACACCTCACTCCATACACAAAAACCAACTCAAAGTAGATCATGGACCTAGGATTAAAACCAAGAACTACAAACTTTATTAAAGAAAAGTATGGAAAAAATCTAGAAGTTCTAATCAACAACATCCTAAAAAAATCTATAACCAGGAGAGGATAATATAGATGAATGGGACCTTCTAAGCATCCAATTCCTATGCACATCCAAAAACTTCTCCAATAGGGTAAAAAGGGAAGCCACAGACTGGGAAAAAGTATTTGGTAATGACATGTCAGATAAGGGAATTTTATCTAGAATTTATAAAATACACAAGCACGACAACAAGATAACCCAATTGAAAAATAGGCACAGGATATAAACAGATACTTCACCAAAGAAGACATTCAGATGGCAAACAAACACATGAAGAAACATTCAAAATCCCTAGCTCTAAAAGAGATGCAAATCAAAACAACTCTGAGATTATCATCTCACCCCAGTAAGAATTGCAAAATTTAACAGAACAACAAACAACAAATGCTGGCAAGGTTGTGGAGAAACTGGGACCCATATTCATTGTTGGTAGGAGTGTAAAATGGTGCAAACACTGTGGAAGCCAATATGGTGCTTCAAGTTGCAAAAAGAAATACCATTTGATCCAGCAATACCACTACTGGGAATATACCTCAAAGAAACCATAACTGCCACCCAAGCAGATTAAGTGCCCATCAACAAACGAATGGATAGAGAAGCTGTGGTATAGGCACACAATGGAATACTATTCTGCACTCAAAAACAAGGAACTCATGAAATATTTTTCAAAATGGGTGACCCTGGAGGACATTATACTGTGTATATATCTCAGTCACAAAGGGACAAATACTGCATAGTACCACTGTTGTAAAACAGGACTGACATTGGGGTTGGGAGGAGACTGAGAAAGATTGGATAAATTACATAAACTGCATTGAAACAGATGAGGGAGAGACTGTTTAAAAGGTATTATTGTCATGACAGGGGTACAGATCAAAGGCTGCATAGTGGAATGGACTTGGGGGAGGGATTGTATGGATGAAAGAATTTTACTTTTACTTTTCAAAGAGAAGAGCAAATGGAAATCCAAAGTCTCTGTAAACTTTCATTAAAATGAATAATAATAATTAAAAAGACCACTATAAAAAAGCTAAGGACAGGTTTATACATGGAATCATTGTAGGATACCTAGAAGGGACTCTGAAGGGAGGGATAGAGTAGTAAAATTTAATAAACAAACGGGTATTTTGGGTGAAGAGAAAGAAAATATGCAATGAAGAACTTTATCAGATATAATGTTAATCAATTTTAACAAAAATTATAAAGTATGCATGAATGAATGAAAAAACAACTTTTAAGTTTTCACTGAAAAAATAAACTCAAAAAAACTATTTTCAAAGGTCTGCTTGCTTTTAGAGGTTCTAAAATGTACTCTTAAGTAAAATATTTTAAATATAGAGATTCTTCCTGCAGATCTGCCAAATTAAAATAAACTACTCACACAAGCATAGGGATCCAAGAGGAAAAGTGATTTGAGCATGGATATGCTGCTATTGTTGATAAGTGGTGTCAACCACAGCTCACAGAAAATGTATGAACAACAGATCTGAACCTTGCCCTTTCCTGAGCCAACTTCAGCTTCTCTATCATGTTTGAGCCCATTTTCAGTCATTGCTTCAATCCATCTTGTAGAGGGTCCTCCTCTCTTTCTCTGATACTCCTCCTATCCCTGAATGATGTCTCTCTCCAAGAACTGGTTCACCTGACAACATGCACACAGTAAGTGAGACAAGTTTCACCATTCTTTCCTCCACAGAAAAACCCTGGTTGCACTTTGTTCAATACAGATTTGTTTGTTCTTTATATTTTAATGAAAGTTTACAGAAAAGTTGGATTTTCATTCATTCATTGATGCACAATTTCCTCCCTCCCCTCTCTTCCCTGTCTCCGAGTC